AACACTAAATTATATCCAAAAACACAATGGAAAAGAGCACAACAGCACAAGGACACAAACACTAAATTATATCCAAAAACAATTAAATAAGCTGATGAAGGCGAACCCACCACAAATTCCAGATAAATAAAGCAGACAGACAAGAATCAGATAAACATACCCCCCACCCCCCAAAAAAACATATAAGCTTTGAAAGCAAAAATACAATCTTTCGAGCAAAAAGAGAGAGAGAGAGAGAGAGAGAGAGAGAGAGAGAGAGAGAGAATTTATTGCCTGATAGTCACGGAGGCCGACGAGGATAATATCACCGGCGGCGATCCACACCTTCTTGTGCATCTTCCCGCGAATATGGCACAAGCGCTTGACGCCGTCGATGCACATGGCTTCGCACCTGCCATTGCCGAGCATGCGGAGCACCTGAGCGTACTCCTGTCCATCCTCCTTGAAGACGAGCTCACGCTTCTCGTCATCTGCTTCGTTCTTACCCCTCTTCCTGTTCTTCCCTCCCTTTCCCTTGTTCTTCGGCATTGCTTTTCCTCTTCAAAACCCTAATTCCCCTTCTGTTCACGCCTTCGTTAATTTTTCTCTCTCTTTTTTTTTTACCCTTTATTTTCTGTTTTTGGGCCTGATTTTTCCGTTGTTGGGCCTATTATTGTAGAGGCTTCCACCTATTTTTGTAATCGGTTATGACACACCTTGAATAACTTTTTAATCTACTTTTTTTCTTTTTCAAATGGATGATTGAAAATCCCCTTATATATTAATCCAGAACGCGTTGAGGTTATATGGCTGTTTTTTGTGCTTCGAAATCATATGTGGCAAAATTACATGATTTGTTATTAGGCTTGGGTAAATTTAATTTAATTTCAAACAAACAATAATTAGATCGGTTTACCATAAACTAGTTACAACACACGTGTATTACACGGGTGCTTGTTAAAAAATTATTCTTAAATTTTAAAATTAATGAGAAAACTATATTAAATTTAGTTTTTTTTTTTACAAAAAAAATATATTACTATATATTTTAAAATGATATGTGTTACTTATGACTTACATGTGTTATATTATATTAGTTTTTATAACTTATATGTTATATCATATAACTACTTGAAATATAAATATAATAGTTGATAAATAATTTTATTTTTCTAATTAATATTAAAAATAATATTATTATTGTTATAAAAATAAATATAAATTATTTTTTTTATACATACAATATGGATGTTAAATCGAAGCTCATCAAAAGAAGATTAATTTGATATATTACATATGTAAAACTGATAAAAAATACAAAAGTTATTAACTTTTAAAATATATATACAATTATAATAAGGAATGATATTAAAATACAATTAATACATGTAACATGACCATAAATAATCAACATATTTATGGTAATCTGAACCTAATTATTTTTGGTTTGGAATTAAATTAAAATTTACTCAAGCCTAATAACGAAGCATGTAATTTTGCCACATAGGATTCTGAAGCACCAGAAGCAGCCACGTAGGCTCAGCGCGTTTTGGATTAATATATAGGGGAATATGTTGATTATTTATGGACATGTTACATGTATTAATTGCATTTTAATATCATTCCTTATTATAACTATTGAATTGTATATATATTTTAAAAGAATAACTTTTGTACTTTTTATCAGTTTTACATATGTAATATATCAAATTAATCTTCTTTTGATGAGCTTCGATTTAACATCCATATTGTATGTATAAAAAAAATAATTTATATTTATCTTTATAACAATAATAAAATTATTTTTAATATTAATTAGAAAAATAAAATTATTTATCAACTAATATATTTATATTTCAAGTAATTATATGATATGAGTTATAAAAACTAATATAATATAACACATGTAAGTCATAAGTAATACATATCATTCTAAAATATATAGTAATATATTTTTTTGTAAAAAAATAAACTAAATTTAATATAGTTTTCTCATTAATTTTAAAAATTAAGAATAATTTTTTAACAAGCACCCGTGTAATACACGGGTGTTATACTAGTTAATTTTATTACACAAAATTTCATGTATGAGTCTGATTAATCATTAGGTGAATCCACCGTCATAATATTTTTTTTTAACAAAATTACATCTCTACTATACATATAAGCAAACAATGAGGGGCAATTCTCGGACTGACACGTGTCTTTTTTGGACGAAAAAGTCCTTCTTTTTACCCTTTAATTACAGCTTTGCCATTGGCTGTTTAAGGCTTTGAATTACCTTTTTCACCTTGTGAGACTGACACGTGAAGCTGTGAAGGCCAAACATTTTTTTTTATGATAAAAGGACGTTTGCACCAGGATTTCCTCCCTGAAAATCTGTCCTTTTGTGTCTTCAAAGATGGAGATCTTTTTTCTTCCAGAAATCTTGCACACGCAATCCCTCTCCAACCCTAATTACCCCCACACCCACACTCTTGCATGTTCATCTTCCCCTAGCCACTGACACCATAATCACTCTCACCACTCACTTTTCGAAAACCTAATCGCCCAAAAATTTAATCTTGCTGCGGTGGAAGCTGGGGAGCTGTTGAGAAATTATGGGGCAATTTTTTTCCTGCGCTCCTCACCACAAAGGTTCAGGGAAAGGGAGGCGTTGACGTAGGCAAATCGAACGGCGGAGTCAGAGTGCGGAGGCGGCAACGTAGGCAAATCGAACGGCAGAGTCGGAGTGCGAGGCTGCGAAGCAGACGGTGTCATTGTCACGGAAGCGGATGCACCTAACGACGATGGAGAGGTTTGCTGCGGCCCAACAAGGAGAGCAGTGTGAGCGACTACAAAGGCTACGCTTCTCTTTGTTGCTACTATACATGTAAATTCACCTCTCCTGAGAAAATTGCTAAATTTATTGTAGTCTCTGTTTGTTTACTGCGAAATTTCATTAACCTATGCTATTTGTGATCGTGTTTGTATGCTTTGTATGGCATAATGTTGGTAAATGAAAATGTGAAACTGTGAATGATTTGTTGGTTTAAGAATGTTGTGTTTGATGTAATGTCTGATTGTGATTTGGCCACTTCTTTACTTCTTTGTTGTAGGGGAAATTTGGTAACTGTTGCAGCAAATTGATTGGATAATATATGATCCATGTCTATATCTTTCTGTAGCCACATTGAGTATATGCTCTAAATAATAGCTCTGAACAGATGAGAGCAACTTTTTTTAGTTATTTCCAGCACTCCACACTATTCTACAAGTTGTTTTTAACGTATTTAATTTTTATTTCTATGCACACAAAAGAAATATTCAATTTGTAGTGTTGCATTGTATTGAACAGCGAAGGAACAACCACTTCCACACTGTTTTTTATGGATGTTCAATTTCCTTATGCTCGTGATAGTGTTAGGAAGCATTTGGAGCTTATATATGATTCGGTGAAACTCAATAGGATATTAAATTATTATAATCTCAGGTAAGTTAGACATCAAACACCTTTTTAGATTCTTATAATAGTTCTGTTTGGAGAAATAAATAAACAATGATTTCTTGTGTATTAGTTGCTATAAATTCTTATAGGCTCTCTTGACCCCTAAACTATGGGGTTGTTTTTCTAATTCGCCTGTTGTAAGCTTTTCCTCTTTGTTGCGCTTTATAGCCCGAATTATGCGTTCTATTTCACATTACCCTCTTAGACATCTCATGTTCTATCATGCATAGCCTCATCAAAAAGCAAAAACAAATCTGCCAAAGAAACCCCCGCAGCCACTCTGGCTCCCGACGGTGCACTTACAACGAAGGAAAACCCATCCAACGACCATGCGGTGGCAAGTTCCAAGTACATTGTCACGACCCCGTCAATGCCAGAGGTTTTCTAGACCGGTAAATTTTGTATCAGAAGATTTATAGAAATGGTTGTAGCTCAAATTTGTTCGTACGTCGAGCATTTCCAGTGCAACATTGTCCCGTCAAAGTTAGTGCTCGAGAAAATTCATTGACAGCATAAGAAATTTTTTGGTATCAACTTCGTGTTAATTCGGGTATTTTTCTTTAGATACGTGCCTTAAAATCCGATATTTTCTTTGCAATCTTGCACCTTTTTTTTTCTACTATAAACCCTCGATTTTTGAAGATTTTTTTATAAATTGTGATTATAGATCCGCTTGTGCCACTGAAATGGTGTCGGAAGAACAGCAACATCGAAAGAGCTTCAAAGCCATGGTTAATCACGGTGTATCTTTGAGAGGTATAGTTGAGCAATACGGGCATCATCGCCAAGATTTGTGGGGTTATTACTAGACCTTCTCTTTATCTGAGATGTTGTAGACTGTTGAATTTATGGTTGGTCGTTAGACAAAAAAACAAAAAAAAAAAAAGGGAAAACTTGAAGGATGGTTGGGTCAGATGTTTCTGTGATCGAGTGGAAGCATAAGAACCACCGGGTAGCTAATTCATAGTCATGTTTTCCTTACAGTTTGTACCACTTTACTGCTATAATTGGTTTTAAACTCATATATGGTCTGATATTGCCTAGAGTTTTAACTTCAGTAATATAGTTTAATTGGTTAAATGGCTTATTAGTAAAGATGCTAACCTCAATAATTGGGAGTAAACAACTTAGTTAAATTTTGGATGTACAAGGCAATTCGGTTCTGTGTGATGCAAGTCCTTAACTAATTATGTTTTCTGTTTTGGTAAATCCACAGGGAGTTTCTTATTGATTTTTTCAGGGAAAAATATATTTATTCCAGGTTTTATGCGAACTGATTTTGGGGACCTTGATTAGATTAGCAATGCAACTTGTTTAAGTGTCAAATTGTTATCTTCTTGGCTTATAGGTCTTCCTCCACTGACTTTGATGTTGTGATAACATTTTAATTTTCTGTAAAATTGACATCATAATGATGATTTCAAGGGGTTAAAAATTTAATTGTAACTATCTTATTCATTGTTAATATGTATGCTTGGTTTATTCATCTTGGTGGCAATTAGAAGTCAAGACAATAATTTTATTTGAATCACCTTGAGGCGATTGTCTGCCTTTGTTTTTTTATTTATCTATTTTTCTATTTAGTAAATCGGATGAGGTTGCTTATGATTAAGACTTCTTTTTTGTCCCGAATTTGTACGTTCTTAAGTCTGAAACAAATTTAGATTGGAACTTCTTTGATAGTCATGCTGAACTTTTATTTTTTATTTTTACATAACATTTTTATGTATCTGTGTACTCTTTGTGTTTATTGGATAGTGATTTATTATTGTTATTATATTATTTTATCTACTTACATGATTAGCCAACACTTTGAAATTTTTTTCTCCATGATGGATTCCAATTTTGCTAGGTGAATTGAGTCGGGGCTGATTGAGTCGTCGGAATATAGTGATAGGCATTGGTGACTGCTAAAAAATGAGCAGGTCATGGACCGAAGATGAGCATAGGTAAGATTTCATGTACTTTTCTTTTTTTTAATGATTTTATACGTTCTGTTGGAGGACTTTAGGGCTATTGAGTCAGGGCTGATCGAGTCGTAGGAATACAGGGATTTTGGTTTTGATTTTGATTTAGGAAAAAGTTCCAGGCTGAGGTGGTTTAACCAACTGGATTCGAAAATCAACCGGCTACTGTTCGGCAAGGAAGAAGGAGGAGAAGCTCTTGGATACGTACGATTCACAGTATGCTGGTTCTACTAAGGGAAAGCATTAGTTCGTAACAACTGCATATTATGACTTGGGTATGTATTTCTTTTTTACAGTATGAATTTTCTTTTGGTGTATTTCATTTTCCTAAATATTAGTGTAATGAATGATCTTGAACACTAAAAAAATAAATATTACAGTATGCTGGTTCTTGTGGAATGTACAGCCTCCCATTTCAAACATAAGAAGTTCAAAACATTGGAGGTGGTTTGACTTCTTTGAAGGGAGGATTCAGGTCCACAACATTCCAAGTTAGTCCACGAAACAGTATTTATATCTACTGAACGACGCAATGCTTCTTCTAGAATAGTGCTTCTTCAAAGTTAGTCCACGAAACAGTATTTCTAGAGACTTCAAGGGCACAAATATTTATATATATAAATTACCTTAAACACATTACAAAAATATTTAAGAATTTTGGCCTAATAATATCTACAAAATTTTTAACAACACCAATAGTATTTAAGTCGAGCAACAAAGTTGCAACCAATCTAAAATCATCATGACTAAGTTGCACTCAATATGAACTCATGTAAAACATCCTTATACCCATTTTATAACTTACATGATATTGCGTATGAAATTAAGAGTTGTAGCGCCTTTTTACATGCGACAAACAAATTTTATCCAATTATCCTTATTTTTGTATAGAGATTTTAGACCAAATGGTTTCATGTAATGAGAGCGGAGGTTTGCGCCCAATGTAAGGTGCTTGTTGTGGCATCACAATTTGATTGAGGAACTTCATAGTGAGCAGGTAAATAGTCCTGTTTTTTAGGTTTCATAAATTTGATTTATACCCTCAGACAGGTAGTAGTGCTCAACCTAAAAATGTTGTCTAGCCTCGCCGGTGACCCATCAAGCTGCAGCAGTGCTTGGTTGGGTGTTTGCTGCTACATCCTAAGTAAAACAATCTTTCGTGTAGGTTATTTATTAATTAATTTGACTCTTCAATTGTTTCGCCTGCTATTGAAGTTCGTCCTTTCCAAGTAATTCTATTTGTCCTCAAGTATTTGTGTTTTTTCTTTAATAAATATCTATTTCTTGCTGCAAAAACTTTGTTCCAGTACTTTCACCAAAGTTGAATGCTCGAAGATATTAGCGGAAAAAAAAGAATTACATATGCATTTCCTTAGGCACAAAAACTGAATTTTGGTCATTAGATGGATTATTGTAGATTGGTATTCTCCTAAATAACATGAATTCAAAATAGTTGTGAGATATTAAATGAAAACTATGATAGGATAATTAGCAACTATGAATCTTTATATGTTGTTTTTCAACAAATGTCTACGGGCTTAACTATACATGCAAGCACCTATGACAATCTAAATACAGGGACCTGATCTTTACCATTTCATAATGAAGTCGCATCAAGGCCTGGCAATAATGATGTCAAGATGCAAGAGGCTACAGTTGATACCGTTACTTCTTGTGAAAATGGCCACTCGGGCAGAGTAATGCACTGACGGGAAAAGTCAATCCTGGATGATGGATATGGGTAAGCATAATGGGCCCCAAATAACCTTGAAAGAAATCGAGAGAGATGCTTGGGCTTTAGAGACAAGTGGGCCTAATTCCAGTCCCACACGAGGAAAGACCTTTGTCGAGTGTACGGATATCTGGATGACGAAAATGCTAACGCCACACATTCTGACGAGAAGCGGCAAAGAAAATGTAAGCGGATTATAATGAATGACATGCAGGTAGCACTCAGTGAGTCCGCGCTTTGGGACAAACCCAAATGCACCATAACTCAGACTTATTGAAATCGTGGGGCGAAAATTAAGTATACTTGTGAGTGTGACGATTTTTATTGCTTGCATCTTTTATTGATGTACCAATTATATATATGTTGTTTGTTGATATGTCCTCTCATGGAGCTAGGGTCAGTATTTCAAGGCTAAAAAAATGGTACGACAACCCTGGTCTTTTTCATTTTCAAGATACTTCTTTCTTTTTTTTTATTTGATTTCTGTAAGTTAATAATATGTTATCAATTAAAGCAGCCCATTAAATTAAATAGATCATAAAATCACTTGTTAATTCTTCAGATATAACTATACCTAATCTAGGTTGGGTCGAGTGAAACTCCAAGTCCCTCTCTCTTGTTATACCAATAACCAAAAAAGGAAACTCGCCCCTGCCGCCAGGGACTTCTGTGCCCCATATGAAGGGGAACACAGTCTCGAGAGACAAGGCAATGGGGTCGCCGCTCACTCAAACTCATCCTTGAGCCCAGTCGAAGACTCCTGTGTCCAGCCCATGTGAAGATGGAGCGCCAAAAACGAGGCTACGGATGACCCATTTTCTGCTGATGCTGCAAGGACCGTTCCATAAATAAACTCATGGGATTGTTAGTTTCGGCTAATTATGCAACTACCTTTGGTACTTCGCCAAATTATTAAAGAAATTAAATTACGTATAGACGGTACTTTTTCACAAATTTTATGTCTCGACTTTATATCAAAAAACAACATCGTTGAAGCCTTTGTTTGTGAGTTTACGCTAATAACACATGATGAAATAACAAAAAATACTTTTAAGATTGAACTTCAAAACACCTTTGTGATACTATTTGTTTAGGGTAGATTATTAAGTGAATATTAATATTTTGGTTTTTAACACGCTTTCTTCAATATTAAGTTAAAATAAAATTAATAAAAAAACTTATTAAATTATAGTACAACTTGCTTTCTTATGAATTGATGTCAAATTATTTGAAGGTAAATTTATAAATGCCATAAAATGTGGGTAACTATATTTTAAAATTTTCACAATTATTAAATATAAATATAGACTGGACTAGGGCCGGCTGTGCGTGCATAGCCGGGTCCAATTTAGTATATATATATATATAGATTTCCTTTGGTTTTGAGTCAAAATAAAATTAATGGGCTTTTTTGGATGCCATATGCCTATTATTACATCAACGGCACAGATGGACACAACAGATATCTACAGTGTAAAACACACATCAGCCCTCGATCCCAGAACTGATTAAAAGCAGCGAAGAGTTGGCTGCACAGTCAGTTCGAGAAGGGAAAAGCGAGGCAAACAATTAATAGGCCGCCGGAGTAAAAGATGTCGACCGTAGAGGACGATAAGAAGCCTTCCGGTGGCGATTCAGCCGCGCACATCAATCTCAAAGTCAAGGGCCAGGTGAGCCCTTTTTTCCTCGTTTCCCGTAGAACGATCCTTTTCCTCTTCCTCACCCTTTCGGTTTTTGTTGTTGTTCAAGTGTTTAGGTTTTGACTTTCATGGTGTGACTTGATAGCGAGAATTCTCTTATTGTGTTTGTGGAATTGGGATTGATTGATTTTCGTTTCTAGGGTTTTGGTACAGCCTTTTATTGCACTGTATTTTTTTTCCTTCAAATAATTCGTTTACCTTGGTTGGTAATTCA